CAATGAATTATTCTCTAAGTGAAGGCGGTATAAGTGATCCTTAGATTTAATATTGTTATAGTATCTTGTCTATAGATTATTATGCTTTGACTCTATTTGATTGCTTCCCATAAATGAGATGCTCAAATCATTAGTGATTAGATATAGTATAGAGCATGGAATGATATTAAATTATCTATAAGAATACACTATCTCTTATGATAGAGGAATTATCTTGTTATTGGCCATTTGTAGAAGTTTAGCTCAAGAAATTTTAGCACTAAGTGGAAAGGTATTAGAAGGGTGTTTCGAAGTAACTCTTTATTAGAGTTATATTTTAAGATTCATACTTGAGTAGACTCGATCTTCAAAGACTCAATGACTCAGATTATACTGCACCTCTCTCCAAGTGGTGTGGCACAATCTGGGCCATTGGGTTTATGAAAATTAGGTCTACCCAAGTTTTGGCCATGTTTTAGTACAAGAAAATATTATTAATCTAATTGGAGTAGGCACATATTTTATCCTCTAAGATTAATATGAAATTAGTATGGTGAGGGATATTAATTATACCAAAAACATTCATTGAAAGCCGAAGTAATCTATTTGATGATGTTCATCACTTGAGAAGTCATGGTGTATTGTTAGATAGCAATCTTAATCTATAAGAATAAGTTGATTGATTAGTTAAATCAATAATAAATTGAAGGAATATTAATTTATCTAATTCAAAACAATCTTAATTGTTATGAGACTTATACTTATTGTCAACGAGTATGAGAATCGAATGAATCACATATATTAAGGGTTTCATTAGCAAGATGAAAAAAATAAGGGCAATGAGAACCCCCCCCCCTACCCCACCCCCGTCACCCAATAGTTCTTCTCATCCCATGTCTATTCCCTGGCTGTCCTCAGTCCCTCACCCCATCTCGTCCCTCTCCCTGCCTCATTACCCCTACGGGTATCCTCGTTTTGCCGTACTACTATTTTTATTTTTATATTTGATTATATATATATATATATATATATATATGTATACACACACACACATACATACATACATATAATACTAATAATGAATTTAATAATCATTCTTTTGAATTTTTAGCAAAAAATTTTACGTGAAATATAGGTTAAAAATTATTTTTATTTTGTGAATCCGTTCTCTAGATTTGATATTACATAAAATCAAAGTCATTTACTATTTTTTTTTTAATAAACTACATTTCATAACAAAAGATAAAGTAAACTAATGTAACAAGTTTATCATTAAACCACAAAAAATTAACAAGCAAGATTACATTATTTTATCATAAGAAAATATCACATTATCAATTTCATATTGCATGTATATAATTGTATTATATAATGTATAATATATATAATTGTATGATGCATTAAAAAAATTAAGTAGGAGACGAAGTAGGGGAGCCCACCCTCCGCTTTGTTTAAAAAAAGGGGAGAAAAGCTCTTCCTGTCCCACCTTGCATTTTTCCTCGCCTCGCGGGCTTCAAATAACTTTGAATGATAAGTAATAATTTATATTTTAATTTATGAGACAAATTAAAATTGACGGACCTATGGAATAAATAAGATTAAATCTTTTAAAACGAGAGTTGTATTAGAAGATGAAAACTAAATCTTTTTGGAAAACACTTGCCTTTTTTTTTTTTTTTTAATAATTAGAGAATTTAATTTGCCTATAAATACTATCATAGATTAAATTAGCAAGAAATAACACCAATTCAAGTTGTGTGAGATTCTAGAGAAAATCTAGAATTTTAATTTGTCTAGATTCTATCAACTTGTGTGGTAAGTTCCTAGTGAAAGCTTGCACTTATCTAGTTTGAGCAATTCTAATCTAAAAGGTATCTTGCTAAGGAGCTCATATGGATCATTATTAAAGGCTAAAAGCATGGATAGTTTCAAGTAAATGCAACGATGCATCACGTAGCAACAAGAAGAAGATCGTTATCTTGTTTGAACGCAATTTTCTTAACTAACTCCTCATCTTGTGGAACCAATCAAAGGAATATCTATTTCTAGGAATCAAAATTTAAATTTTTTTCCTGTGCATGTATGCTTGATTCCTTACACAAAAAACCTTTTGTAAGATCCAAAATATGTAGTGTATTGGCTCTAAATAAATACCCCTAGAATCTTTTGGTATGATTTGGGTGATTTGTAGCTTAAAAAAAAAAAATAAAGACATGAAATAGACTTCAATAAATTGATCAAGCCAAAGTAATCCATTGTGAATTATTTTGATTGATGAATCCACTTTAAATTAGAGGATATTGTGCTATAAATTTAATTTAAGGCCCCCTAGCATTGGCCTAATTTTTGTAAGTCCAAAAATCTTCTGAATAAGTTTTCCACCTATGCGATTTTCATAATAGAAGAGATATTTTTTCATAAACTTACGCTTGTGCTTGTTTGGTGAGATCGTTGTAAATGACTGAAGTATGCTGTTTACAATAAGTAGAATATTTAGTTAGAACTGCTCCCATATAAGGAATGAGATATTATAATGTAGAAAATTACAACGGTGTATCCTGTTGCTCCATTTTCATGGAAAGTAGTTACAAATCACGCCACAAAAACTGCTTTTTTTTTTATTTTTTTAATAAATAGCTACATAAACACATATTATATTTGACCTGATTGATTGAATAATATATATTTGTCGCTATTACTGTTTTACCGATTTGTCTGTGCCCAATAATTAATTTTCATTGCCCCGCCCCATCGGAATGATTAAATTGGTACCAATACTCATAAAGCCCAATTTGAAGAAGCTCAACCACTGGGCCAACGACTCTGTGGCCACCAGGGAGTAGGCTTGTCAACGGACCAGATTCGAGTCGGAAATCATTATTCTAGACCCGTACACTATATCAGATCCGGATCCGACCCGTTTACCCGACGGGATCTTTACTCTATGTTTTGGATCCGGGTCTACCCGAAAAAAAAAACAAAATTTATAATTCCTAACAAAAATGAGAAAAAAACATATATTTATAAACTAATTTCTAATTAATACAAAAAAAATCAAATAAGAAAAGAAATCAAATTAACCTTACTCAAATATATCACCATAATCAAATTATATTGATTAGGATCCGGGTCCAATTATATTGATTACTCAAATACATCATCCTAATCAAATTATATTAATAAATATATATATATTTTAAATTATTAATCCATTTATATCCGGATTCGGGTCCAATACGAGTCGGAATACTATATTCCGTACCCGACCCTTTTTTTTGGTAAAAACGGATTCGGATCCGGGTCCGGGTAACGGAATTAAATCCCTACTCATACCCGGATAAATTTGACGGATCCGGTTCGGGTCCGGGTCTAGACTCGGACCGTTGACAGCCCTGCCAGGGAGGGATTTAAGTCCCTTCTTGGGCTGTAGGTAAGGGTTCAAACCTTTCCTGCATCAAAAAAAATCTAAGAGTTGTGCCAGAGCACTTCCTTGGTCTAGTTGAATCTGTATACTCACTAGCCCCCTACGACAGCTTCCTTAGGCTTCCCCTCCCCCCTAGATTAGGGTAGAGTAAGTTATACAAATGTATCGTTGCTGACAAAAAAAAAAAAAAAAAAAGAAGAAGCTCAAAGATATTTCAAAAAAAAAAAAAGAAGAAGCTCATATACGAAATGCCACGAAATAATATTGATTGTTCAAAACTCTGTGGACACGAAGAAGAAACATGCTATCCCCGCTCAGAACAAGATAGATTAATTAACCTAACCTTAATTAAATAAAAGAAATTAAAATTTTATTGTCGACACTTGTACAATAAAAACTGGACTCTCGCTTGTTTTCGACAAAAGAGTCGAGCAGTTGCCTAAAGAACAGTGAGAATCAATTGTAAGAACCAAAGATGCATCAAGTGGACTAGTGGAGCGCGAAAGTGGAACTTTTATCATTTTTTTTAAACCTCAAACTCAATTGTTTTCGTTTTTCAAGAACTCATACGCTAAAATTGACCATTTGGAAAAACTCACACAAGGACTTTAAGTATGGTGAATATGAGTTGTAGGAAGTAGTGATCTCAAAATGATTAATGTGAGTCCCAAATTGAAAATTGTAGTCGTGTTTGAGTGCAAATAAATTGAATCGAGTCGAGATTTGACTTAATTAAGTCGAATCTTAACTTAATTTTATGCAACTCGAACTTGAACTTAAACTCGAACTCGATGACATCTTGATGTAAATTTCGAGCTCGACTCAAATTCGAGTCGAGTTTGAGCTTAAAAAAAATAATAAAATAATTTTATTTTTAAAAAATAAATAAAATAATAAATTTTCTTAACAAATAATAATAAAATATTAAGAATATATATGTAATTGTACTATTAAATATAACATAAAATATATATATATATATATATATATATAATCGGGACGACTTGCTAGTTAACGAGTAGAGTATTTTTAAACTTGACCCCGAGTTCGAGTTTGACTTGGTTAACTCAAACTCGAGTTGTTTTGGATGACAGCAAAGATGTAACGAGACAAAAAAGAGATAAAAGTTGTAGCAAAGAAGTCAATTTCCCGAAAAACAAAAAGGACTTGCATCAATTTTCAAAAGTCAATTTCCTAAAAATATCGACTTTGACATCAAATTATTAAAAGATAACCCAATTGAATGTGCAGCAATATTCATCGAATTAACCTGGTCTCCATAGCAATTGTACATCTTCTTCCCTGATGCAGATAAACCAAATTTTATTTCTCGGTCAGTTGGGATGTTTCGGAGTGCACCTTTTAGCACCTGTACACAATTATCACAAACAAAATGTACTCCTGTACAATAACCCCAAAGAAGGGAGAAAAATAGAAAAAAAAAAAAACCAAATCTGCATGAAAAATGACTTCAGAAGAGCTAGCACCACCAATGAGTAAATATTATATATAATAGCCACATTAAACCGTACATCTTTCTTGATGTATCCAAATAATAGGTAGGACCATAAACTCAAACATTCTGGAGCTACAAAGATAGTCAAGAAATCATTAGCACCGCATAAATACATTCCTCCTAGAGCAATTCTCAAGTTCAGTGCTCAAAACCATATTTGAGCAGCTGATTCACAACAAAGATTTGACATTATTTTCTTCATTGGAATTTCATAGCACAAATAATGAGTAGGAATAGCACAATTATTGATGCCTCGCAACCTCATTACTTAACCAATACCATGATACAACATTTTAAACCAATACCATAATACAACAAATTTTTTTTTTTTAATTGCTTTCACTTTTCAGAGTTGGAATTACATAGCTACAATAGTCACACAAAGATGTACAAGTATGATTCTTACAATAAATACAGGGTAAGTTTTTATCAAATGCTGAGCTTCGGGCGGAAATCCGAGTCTACAAATGCTTTAGTGAATTCATCAGGACAAGCCATCCGGATGCGTTCAGGTGTCGCTGGATTGTCTAGAGGAAACCAGTCACTACAACCTACTTCTGCTCTTGCTGAAACTATAGCATCTTTTATAGCAAAAAGGACTGCTGAGGCAAGAAAGAATGGAGGTTCCCCCACAGCTTTAGATGAATGGATGGCCTTAGCATTTGGAGCACCCTTATATAGCATACAAGAAAAGAGGTAAGCAAATGAAACAGCATTAAAGAGAGAAATATTTCCCCAAGAAAAACTTTGCGCAAAGATATAATCTCTAGACAGAATTCACCTTGACAAAGAACATAGTTACCTGGAAAATGCACATAATACTGTTTACTTTAGTCTACACTACAGACTGCTTATAAATCAGGGAAATGCAACATTTTAGCTGCTTCACTTTACCAGCTCTTATATTTCCAGGTTCCCAAATTTCCTTTTTAGACTTGCTCCTAGGAAATTAGCTGAACTAAATTCTCTTTCACCAAAATCTAGCAATTTCTGTTTAGAAGCTAAGAATATTGCTTCTGGAACAAGAAGACAGAGAATTGAAAGTTGTATAATAAATATGTTCAAAGTTTTCCATACTTCTGATTAGCATCCGGTGCAGCTATTATTAGAGAAATAGTGCTCACCCATAGCATAGAGCTTCACCTCTCCTTAAGAAAATTGATTTAGTTTGCACAAGAAAATGCATTGCTAATGCTCGATTCTGTTCGGCCAAATTAAGATATATTTTGTTGCAAGCACGAAAGTCAATTAGGTACCAACAGATTGCGTGACAATATGTACCACATTCAACTTGTGAACACTCTTTTTTAAGTAGATTGAAATGTAAAATGGATAACGGAATTTATTGTTTCCACCTTTACCAAAAACAGAATGTAAGAATTAAAATCATCCAAACCAAAACCAAAAAAGCAACCAAAAAGGAAAATAAACCATTTTAGAGCCTATGCACAAGCCAAGAAACAAGTATTGATAAGGTTTACCTAACTTTCTAAGGACCTTATATGCTCTTATTAATGATAAAATATTGCCTTCTATGACCATACCGCTATTCAATGACACATTTTTTAACCATAACCCTGCAAAGACTCTACATAAATTTCAATGTAGGTGTGCATGCTGCTACTACGTAAAAGGATGTTATTCGAATTCCAACTAATTGCTGACATATATCATGATAAAAAATCACATTCATCAACTAAAGTGAGTTCAATAAGTGGTAAATATCAATTACTAAATCAGATTATCATCGAACCGACAATATTAGGAATTTGACATCCATCAAATGCATCTTACAAGCGTACAACAATAGATATCAAAAAGATAGTAGCATGATTACCTTCAAAAGAGAAATGTTGAATTTAAGGGGCACATCATTGACAGAGGGAATTTTGTAATTTCCAGGACCACAAGTGTATAAGAAGCCAGCTGGAATCCACCTGTGTGCAGGATCTCCCCATTTCAACTCTTCCAATGCTGCCCATCCAAGACCTTGTATGAATGCTCCTTCAATCTGCATGCTCATATCCAAAATCAGATATTATTTCTTCATGAACGCAAGGAGAGATAGTTTTAGAGATCTTAAGGGAACTAAGGTCATCAGTTTATTTGTCATATAATATTCAGTTGGATACAGGGAATTATTCAGGGATCTCACATTCACCTCTCTTTCACGGATTTTGTTCTTCTTGTACAATCATTATCACTGCTGTCTCAGATCTATATTACAATATCATTATGCACCAAAACTCTCATGGACAGTTAAAAGTCTCAGGTTCTCAGGTAAAAGCTTAATAGCTAACCCTTCACTGGTGCTAGTCTTATACTAAGCTTCTAAAAAGCAATTAACTACAGAAAATCAACTGTCAACAAATAGATCCCTCTCTGGATGAACATCATAATGAATCAAACACAAGTTTACTTCTCGGATTTCAGTGTGGCCCTGGCAAGAGTATGCTAGGGAAATGTATGTTAAAATGTGGATAAAATCAGAACAATGGGAAAAAGGCAGTTCATAAATGTAACGGCAAGCACTCCAAGGATTGATCACGGGATGCCATCCTCCCTTAGGCCCAAGGAAGAAGGAACTTTACACTATTAACTGGAGATTGCAAATATTTGTGGCCACCTCTCAACCCGAATATAACCATAGGCACATACTCTTCCTATTTGTCAAAATGGCTGACTAGTGAACCTAGCTCATCTAATAAGCACTTTGTGTCAATATGCACCACAAAATTACCAAAACCTTGACCAAATTTCTCAATTGAATATACATCAACTTGAACTGCATCAAGTTGGCCAAAGCATCTGAGGCATCCTGAAAATCATTGAAAATTCCACATAAACACAATAATTTGTTAAAAAGATAATTCCTGTAGAAGTATTTGGGAGAACACTAGTTGATTTAAAGTGGCTGACTGCTCCCCTATCAATTAGTTAGATTTACAATTACAGCGATTCTTATATTCTAGTAGCAATGCACTCTAAGTTGAAGGCTGTGCATCATAAGCTCCTTTATTTTGCCCACTAGCTACAGCACCCAAACTGCAATGGCCATGATGCGGAACCCCCCATATTCGCATCTGCTACTTAACCCATTGATGGATATATAAATGCGTTCCTGATTTCCATAATTGACGTAGGAGTTATATTTTACTCTCAACCCCAACAGCAAATATATATCCAAATTGGTCGACACACTATACATGGGTTGTACTGCTTGAGCAATTTCTCTCAAACAAAATCAAAGCCATATCCACAGGCTATTCTTCGTCATTGACAATTCTTGTCTTCTCTTCCATCTAACATACTTCCAAGTCATGAACTCCAATTAAAGATTAACATACAATATTCAAGAAGTTAACAATGAAACAGGAAGACGAATATATTTGTTTTGTCAACAAGAGAAAAATATCTACAAACAGCCAAGCCTTGAACAAGAGATAATTGCTATTTTGTCACATATTGGACAATGGACATTCAGCTTGAGACAATGAAATGTTGAGGCAGTACTGTGAATATTTTAATGACCAAGCATGTCAAAAGTGTGAATGGCATATAAAAGGCAATGCCAAAAAAGACAACAGCAGACGGAATTTTTCTCTTTTGTATAGAACTGATTCCTCCTAAAATTGGTCTAATCTCTGTCAAAATATGATGATGCATCAATTATGAATGAGCTAAAAGTCACATTATAGTGGAACAGCCAATAAAATTTACTAGAAAAGCTGCATATAACATAAGCAACAGCATGAAGCTCATTCAAACCAAAAGCACAGAAAGCAGGTAGAATTCATTAAACCAAAGTCCAATTGACTTGGGGCCTGATCTCAACTGATTCAGATTTTTGTGAAAGCTGATTTTTAGAAGCCAAAATCAGAAACCAAAAAGCAGTTATCTTTTAGCTTCTGCTTGTCCTTTGTCAGATTATAGAAAGCCAAAATCTTTAAAAAACATGTTAAGAACATTACATTATTGATTTTGTAAAATCAGAAGCCAAAAGCAGGTCCAAAAAATCAGTTGAGAACAGGCCCTCATGAGTGAAATATATGAATTTAAATTTCTATTACAGTTCAAAAACATATTCCATGCACTATAGGAAGAAACATTTAAGCAACAGGTAGTTGCTTTAGACTTCCATTCGAGGTTTGGAAAAATGTGGTTTAGATAGACTGCAAGACATAAAGCTCAAAGAAGCAAAGTCTAAACCATCTTTTTTTTTTTTGGCCATGAACCTTGGCAGAATGGCAATGTTTGCAGCTTAAAATTATCATAGGTTGAAAGCTTTGAATTGATGTTTATTTAATCCCCATAGTTAGATTTTGAGATGTTAAAGGTGTTTGTTTTTATTTGTTTATTTATTTTTTTGTATTCAGATCCAGACAATTATTCAACTTTCATGAATTAACTGTTTCCACTTTAAGCGATTCTGGTGAGCCTATCTACAATATCTCTTTACAAACACCACCAAAAGAATAAGAATTAGTACACATACTGAGACACATCAGTGTGGATTTGACACAAAAACATTGGTACCAAGAACAGAAGCTATGACATACCACCATCTGATCACGATTACTCTCTGCAGTTAAAAGTGCACAAAAATCTAGCATTGGATGCAATAAAATATAATAGAGGGGTTGATGAGGGAATAACCTGCCCAACATCAATTGCAGGATTGAGGGAAAACCCCAAATCCAAGGTAACGTCTGCTTTTGTAGTGTGGAAATCTCCTGTCAACGTGTCAATTTCAACTTCAGCAAAAGCAGCTCCATAGGTGAAGTACCTGAATGGAATCCCTTGACCAGTTTTCCAATCAAAGCCAATATCAGGTGTAATAAAAAACCCATGGGCAGACAAGTCAATTCTCTCCATGTAGCAGGCATTTGCAAGCTGATAAAAATTCAGCCCACATAAAGTCAGTCACATATAATATTAGCTGCTCAGTGAAACAAAAACAGTGTTAAAATTCTCATTTTCCCCTTTTTATCCAGCTCCAAAAAGCAGGCAGAAAAGCTAAAGTCACAACCCGAGGAGAAAACCCAAAATCCTCTTAAAGATGGAACTAAAATTACAACTCAAAAAACTTTCTTATTCGAATTCACATGCTGCAATCCAATATGAACATGAAATATATTGCAGCATATTGAAGCAAACTTATATTGGGAAACTATCTCAAAAAGTAAAACAGTGCAGAAAATCCAGACCGAAGCACATTATGGCCTTAGATATGCGCAATACTAATAATATCAGAAAAAAAAACAAAGATCTCTCCAGGTTGTATGTATAAGTGGTAAAATAAAGAGCAGACATAAAACAACTTTTCCTCTGCTATAAACTGCTGAAAATTTTTTTCACAGAATAATGATACTCTATCAGTTCACAGTGCGCCTAGCACTGAAAACTTAAAAAACTGAGAATTAGGACACTCATAACCTTCTTCCTCTGTTGCCCCAGTGCTATTCCACCCCCTTCCTGTTCTGACAATATAACCATTCGCCTAAACCCACTCAGCCTAATGCTGGCAATCCTACTTCTTCTCTCTGCCCCTGCGGCCCTCCCCCAAATTTCTCTGGAGACCTTACTTTCAACTGCAGTCTGCATTGCCTTCTAATTTCTTCACCCACCCCCATTCAGCAATTGTTTCTCGGATCTACTACCCTCCCCTCCTGCTTCTGTCTTTCTTTTCTTTTACTGCTCCTCACCGGTGTGGTACTGATGCTTTGGAATGTTGATAATTGTTGGTTTGGTGGCCATGGTGGTGGGTTGTTGGTGGTGGTGGTCGTTGATGCGATGGCTGTCATCGAAGGTGACAAAGAAGACCAAATAGGGGTGGAAGAGGAAATAGAAAATAAGAAAGGAACACTTTTTTTCTTTGAGCCTCTTATATAGGATAACAACCCTTTTTTTCATATATGCCTTTGATGCTTAGATTTTCTGTGCACATCAGGTTCGTATAGATGACCAAAGGCCTGCAAACAGGAGCTGTTAATGAATATGGACCTTCCAGCAACTGCACATGAGCTCTTTTTTTATGAGGCAAAGTATAAGGAAAATCACTACACATCGAACTTCTTCTGTTTTCCCCTCTGTACATAAGCAGAGAAGTATATCGCATCTGTTAAGAGAATATAAGTATTCTTGTAGATAATAAATTAGTAAGGGTATTCTTGTAAATAGTTTGTTAGATTTGTACTCCTATAAATACTAGTTGATCACTCATAATACGGTGACTAGATGTTTTTCTCTCAAAATACCTGTTAACATGGTATCAGAGCAAAAATCCTAGGGTTAGGGTTAAACATCTAGTCAAAAGTACTGTTCAGCGCACTGTTCATCCCGACACTGTTCACGCGTACTGTTCACGGCGCAGTACTGTTCACGCGTTACTGTTCACGGCGCAGCACTGTTTACGGCTTACTGTTCACACGTCACTGTCATCTCGAGTTTTGACCCTGTCTTTGATTTGACGTGCTATTCGTCATGGTTGAAAGGTTTGTTAATGCGATTACCACTGATCAAATTGAATCGAGTTTTTCAGTACATGGGTCCCAGAAGACTGTTACTATATCTGAGGAAGATTATGTTAAATTCCTACAGTACCAGGTTACAAATCACGCATCTCTTCCCTTTGCTTCTTTAGCACAAAAAGGTAATGACTCATGGATTATTGATTCCGGGGCTACTGATCATATGTCAGGTACCTCTAAAATTTTTTCTAATTTTCAAGAGTTTACTCCCTTTCCTCATGTTATTTTAGCTGATGGATCTACCACTAAAGTTAAAGGACTAGGCACTATAGAAATTAATCCATCACTTCCGCTGTCTTCTGTTCTTTACGTACCCAATTTGCCCTTTAATCTAATGTCTGTTAGTAAGCTCACTAAATTTTTACAGTGTACAGTTACATTTTCTCCTGATTCTGTTGTCATTTAGGATTTGAAGACAAAGAGGACGATTGGTGGAGGGCATGAGCATAATGGTCTTTACTTTCTCAACTTCAATGGTCCGATAGCATGTCCTGCTACTGTTTCTTCTCTTGAAATTCACTGTCGTTTAGGTCATCCGTCTTTACAAAATTTGAAAAAGTTGGTTCCTACTTTGAGTCAATTATTTTCGTTAGAATGTGAGTCTTGTCAGTTAGGAAAGCATCATCGTGTTTCTTTTGCTCCTAGAGTCAATAAACGGGTTTCTAAACCCTTTTTGTTAGTTCATTCTGATGTTTGGGATCCTAGTCAAGTCACTTCAAAGTTAGGTTTTAAATATTTTGTAGTCTTTATTGATGATTTTTCCAGAGTTACATGGCTTTATTTAATGAAAAATCGTTCAGAATTATATTCCATTTTTTGTGCATTTTTTACAAAAATAAAGAATCAATTTGGTGTGCCTGTACGTATACTTCGCAATGATAATGCGAAAGAATATTTTTTCACTCCTTTTAATATCTTTATGACTAAGTCTGGTATTATTCATCAGTCCTCTTGTCCTCACACTCCACAACAGAATGGAGTTGCTGAAAGAAAAATTGGACATTTAATCGAAATTGCTTGAACACTGTTGTTGCACATGAATGTGCCCAAACAATTTTGGAGTGATGCAGTTCTAACTGCATGTTATTTAATTAATCGCATGCCATCTAATATTCTTGGAGATCAATTACCTCACTCTATTCTTTTTCCTCATGAACCTGTGTTTAAATTGCCTCCTCGTATTTTTAGATGTGTGTGTTTTGTTCATCAGCTTGCTCCCGGGGTAGATAAATTAGATTCTCGTGCTATTAAGTGTATTTTCTTAGGATACGCACGAGCGCAAAAAGGGTATAGATGTTATAGTCCAGTTTTAAATCGATTTTTTACTTGTGCTGATGTTACTTTCTTTGAATCCACTCCATATTTTATCAAACAAAGTATGTCTTGTGAGTTAGACCAATGTCCCTCTTTTTCCTCTCCTGTTTTACCAGTCCCTTCCCCTTTATTACCTGAGTTATCTAGTCCACCAGATTCCATAGCTCGATTATCTCGTCCTTATTTTCAAGTTTACTCTCGTCGTTCCATGGTTGAGAAAGTTCCTGATATGCCACGCACTTCACCAATTAACTCTCAATCTTCAAATCCAGTTAGGACGCCCTCCTCTGAGTTAGATCTTCCTATTGCTTTACGCAAAGGTAAGAGACATTGTACTTCCCATCCTATTTCTAATTTTGTTTCTTATTCTCGTCTCTCTATGTCATATTCTTCTTTTGTTGCTTCCCTTGATTCTATCTCCATTCCTAAGTCTATTACCTATACTCTTAATCACCCTGGTTGGAGATTAGTTATGCAAGAAGAGATGTCTGCTTTGGAACAAAATGGTACTTGGGATCTTGTCCCTCGTCCTTCAGGTAAGCCTGTTGTTGGTTGTAAATGGGTGTACACTATAAAAGTGCAGCCTAATGGTTCTATTGATAGATTGAAGGCTCGTCTGGTAGCTAGAGGATTTACTCAGGTGTATGGAGTAGACTACTTAGAAACATTTTCTCCTGTTGCAAAGATTACCTCTGTTCATCTTCTTATCTCTTTGGCAGCAACTTATAATTGGCCATTGCATCAGTTGGATGTGAAAAATGCATTTCTGCATGGAGATTTGGAAGAAGAGGTGTATATGGAACAACCTCCTGGATTTGTTGTTCAGGGGGAGAATCCGAGGTTGGTTTGTCGTTTGAAAAACCCTTATATGGATTGAAACAGTCTCCGAGGGCTTGGTTTGGCCGGTTTAGTAGTGTTGTCATGGAGTTCGGTCTGACAAAATGTGAAGTAGATCACTCTGTATTTTATCGGCATTCTAATGCGGGTAAAATTTTGTTAGTTGTTTATGTGGATGACATTGTGATTACAGGTGATGATGTTGTGGGGATCCAGAAACTTAAATCCAATCTGCAGGCAAACTTTCAGACAAAGGATTTAGGTCATCTACAATATTTTCTGGGTATTGAGGTAGGTTGGTCTAAATATGGGATTTATTTATGTCAAAGAAAATATGTACTCGATATGTTGAGTGAAGTTGGGATATTAGGTTGCCGACCTGTGGATACTCCTATGGATCCCAATGTGAAATTAGCAGGAGATCAAGGTGCATTACTTGATGATCCTAAGCAATATCGAAGACTTATGGGTAAATTAAATTATCTCACTGTAACGAGACCTGACATTTCGTTTGTAGTGAGTGTTGTGAGTCAATTTCTTGATACCCCTCGTACTAGTCATTGGGATGCTGTTATACGGATTCTCAGGTATCTTAAGAATGCTCCTGGAAAAGGGTTGATTTATCAAAATCATGGACACACTGATATTGAAGGATATAGTGATGCAGATTGGACTGGTTCTGCCTCAAATCGAAGATCGACTACAAGATATTGTGTGTTTGTTGGTGGTAATTTAGTGTCGTGGAAGAGTAAGAAGCAAACAGTTGTATCCAGATCAAGTGCAGAATCTGAATACCGCGCTATGGCTCACACTGTGTGTGAGTTGGTTTGGTTGAAGAACATGTTACTGGAACTTGGGTTTGAGCATAAACAGCCTATGAATTTAGTGTGCGATAATCAGGCGCCTGTTCATATTGCGTCTAATCCAGTGTTTCATGAAAGGACAAAACATATTGAAGTTGATTGTCATTTCATTCGAGAGAAATTGCTTGACGGGGTCATCAAGACATCTCATGTACCGTCTGTAGATCAATTGGCTGATGTGTTTACCAAGAGTTTAGGGGGCTCTAGGGTGAAATACATTTGTAACAAGTTAGGTGCTTATGATATATATGCTCCAACTTGAGGGGAAGTGTTAAGAGAATATAAGTATTCTTGTAGATAATAAATTAGTAAGGGTATTCTTGTAAATAGTTTGTTAGGTTTGTACTCCTATAAATACTAGTTGGTCACTCATAATACGGGAACTAGATGCTTTTCTCCCAAAATACCTGTTAACAGCATCAAAATATAAAACGGCATATTGTATTCTGGGCATTCGTCTCTTAATGGGGAAACTTCAACAAGATTTATCATTTGAGTCTCCTAACATTGGAGAGCCAGAGAGAATAAGATGAGCACCAGCAATTTTTGATTGACAGACAGAAATTTAACGAGGCACTAGCAAATTAAAATTTCTGGAAGGGTATCTAAGTCTCACCACAACCACTCTTTTTGTACCACTAGGGGTGCTTATGGACCTGAATCAGTTAGTGTGGAACATTTTCTTTTCCCAGGAGTTCTGCTTTATTTTGAAGATTCAGACTAATAACTGCTCTTACACTATTTGGGTTGCTTGTCATCCAAAAATTGTATATGAAACTGTTATGAAAGTCTATTTGGCATAAAATTTCTTTTCCACCAGTAATGATATATGAAAGTCTTTGAAACTGTTTAGACATGAGTTTGTTTGGATAGGAGTTTATTTGAATGATTTATTTGAGATAATTACTGTAGCACTTTTTATGATGTGATGTATGTGAGATAAATAGGTGATTGAAATTTGTGAAGCAAATTATTTTTTTTCAAATCATCTGAATCCAAACACACTTAATGTTCCGCCAGTAATGGTATATGAAAGGCTTTGAAACTGTTTAGATATGATCTTATTTGCCAAAATATTTTTTGCTTGCATCATAAACACGTTTTTCAAACACCTTTTTATCTTCCCAACCATCTTTTTATCTCACATACATCACATTACAAGAAGTGCTAGAGTGCTATTTCAAATAATTTTTCCAAACAATTTCCTATCCAAACATGCTCTTTATCTTTTTGTTATAAAGAATATTATGACCCACCGAACAGAGATCAGCAAGCAGAATAAGCCAAATACAATGAAAGCAGAGTGCACAAATAAAAATGTTTCATAGTGTAGCAAGTACCTCAGCAAAAGAGCTATAGTTACGTGTTGATGCAATGGGCTTCATCCTAACATTTATTTGTTCACAAGCATCCAGAACTGCAGCACCATACATATCAGAACTTGCAGAAGCTGCTGTTGGAGTTGCATTTGGAACCTAGTAATATATAGCCATCAATGAAATCAGCAATCAGATTCAACAATACATGCACATGCCAAAGTGAAACAAAAGAAACTGGATAAGTTCAATCAGTCTAAAGAACTGATGATACAAAATTATAATTCAACCCAATGAACATGACTTCCTATTGGCTTTGATGTCAATCAATTTTGAGCCTTAAGACTAATATATAACATGTCTACAGCAGCTGCAAATGGAGATGAAAATGGATATCTGCTGGCAATTCATAAGTTCAATCTCCAGTTTTGTTTTCATTGTAACCTAAGTTCTTCAAGGCCCAAGTCCAAGAGTTTTGTCTTTTGGGGCCCAGGCTCATAGTTTAGTTGCTCGATCAATCTTAATACTTCCAGCTTTTCTTTTGCAAGACCAGTCTTCTAGCCAAATGCTTAGGAGTAAAGCACTTTTATTTAAACGGCAAACTGAAGTACACAGGAAATTACTTCATTGTGATGTAAAATCAACTAGTAGCTGCATACAATATACACCACCTCTACAACAGGAGATAAAAATCAGTGAAGAAGGAACTTTTGGCAGAAATGAAACATTGGTTTCCATATTTTGTATGATACCAGTCTCTTATGAGGGACTCATTACGTTTACCAAAAGTCATTCCCAAGGTTACCTAGATTCTGAGCTGTTCCAGAACGAGGAATAATTGGGTATCATAGAATTCTACGCAATCTAAATGCAGAAGGCTGGGCGTAAGGTTCTTTGGGTACTTAGAAGTGACAAAGTTCAATACTCATGAAATGGTTCTCTAGATCATATCAGAAAAATCACTTTTGATGCAATTTTCTAGATAAACTATTCAAAAAATCAACATTTAGATAAATAATTATGTGAAATTGTCTGATAAGGCACTAAAAAAAAAAAGCATGTATTCTAGGAGCATAACTTGACTCCAACTTTCGAACTCCAAAAGTGGAATTCCAAGTCGTCAATAATACTTATTAGAATTGCACTTATCAAATTCAAAGTTCATCAGGACTCAAGCAATTAATGGTAACACAGTAGTAAAACCTAGATGTGATTCCTACATTTCTTTTATTCCGTTTCTATTTATTTTTAAGTCGGATTTGGTCTTCAAACTCATTAAGAAAAACTGCATCATTTTTTATATCATGGCTATCATAAAAGCAGATAAAACAAAACTTAAACAAATAGATTTGGACTTGTCTCAACTTTTGAGACAACATAATGTTTTGGAGCAAGGAAACATATTAGTTATTGATTATGTGCTTAAGTTTCTTGAGCTGTTTGTTCAACATTCAGTTGTTGCAAGTCCTCAAAAAACAATTAATACATAAAAAGCTGGTCTGTAGCATGAAATTATGAAGCAGTTGCAGGAAAAGAAGCTTTTATCAACTAAAGGATGCTTTTTGAGCAAAGCTGTCAAGGTAAATCAGTACTTGAGTCATGGAACGTTGGAAATGAAGAAATTCAAGTAAAAAAAAAGAGCACTTAATGGACTTCATACTGAATAACCCAATCCAACTACAGCTATTTTAAGGTTATCCACACAAATAAAAACATTAGTTATGCCAGAATGAGATGTATGGATGTCCTTGGCCACAGCCCAGGGAAGCTGATGTTACATTAAGAACAACAAAGCCATCATGTTATACTAGGACAACCAAGCCATCTTACGAGGCTGAAGAAATCCAAACCTTAAATTCATCCTTGCCAGAGCAGGAAGAAATCAACCATGCTTTTAAAGATGGATCAGAGAAGCATGATAAACTTTTGATGCTTCAAGAATCCTCATCATTCATTTAACAAGAGCTGGAAAAACCGGATCTGATACTAATACTGCCACTACAGTCAGAAAATCAGGTATATCTGTCGCTGATGTTGAATCTAAAGCTCCAACAAGAGTAATCCAGTTCTCAGCAATTTCTAATGAGGTAGTTGAAGTTTGTGAAGCTTCAGCAGAACTGTTCTTCAGCAATTTACACAGAATATTATCATAAAATCTCAAGACACTGCTCTTCATGAAAACTCAGTGAAGATTATACTTGAATGAAAGGATCTTCTGATGAAAGTAGAGGCTGAAAAAGCAACTTTTGAAGGCAATACAGTAAGGGAAAACCTAAAAGATGCCATTGCAAAATCAAGCAATATTAATTTGGTGTTGTTCATTGACTTTCGGAATGAGATCTAAAGAAGTCCCTATTATTTGTTCCAACTACTCACTTTTTCATTGAAGTCTTGGGAAAAGATTGAGAAGCCAGACTTCAATGACCCTATCTTGGTGATAGAAGCACGGACCACTCATATTCAAGATGTCCATAATCAGATGCAACAGACAGGTAAAGATCATTAATTGTGATACTCCTGCACTATAGATGTTGACTTCAAGTATTCACCAAACAGGGGAGAACAATGCAGAATTAGGAAACCATGTTGGAATTTTCATTGGATGTAAGCTTTTTAGTACTCAGACCATAAGCACTACTAAGGCCCAAAGCCAAGAGTTCTATCATTTTTGGGGACCACAAACATAGTTTATTTGTTCAATTTTGCTACTTAAGCTTTGTTTTGTCAGTAGCTCCATATAAGACATGTTTTTGAAGTTTACTGATTGAACAAATTGGAGGCAGAAGTAGTGTTGCTTCAATCTTGATTGCCAGACTTGAAGTTAACAACCAAATAAAGACCACTGTCAATTCAAATTAGTCAAACACCTTGGAAAGAACTGGAGGCAACAGTAAATCAATATGGCAACAGTTCTTTAAAAGCATATGAGAGTATCCAAATGTAGAAGTAATTAGTATGGCAATACCTTGTCAGTACTTGTCTCTGAGATGAACACTGAACTCAGAGGAATATTAAAGGAAGAAGCTGCAATTTGAGCAACCTTTGTATGCAACCCTTGCCCCATTTCAACGCCCCCATGCGTTATTAAAACAGTTCCGTCTGTATAGACTTGAACAAGGGCACCAGCCTGTAGCCATTTAGGAGAACCTCATATCAAGTACTCATATAGTATTTTTTCAGAAAGAAAATCATTTTGAAATAAGCTGAACCAAGGAAAACTCCAGTTACACGACAGACACAAAAAAATTGACAACAAAAGATCTCATTTCCAGTTCAAAGTTTCAGAAGAAACAGGAAGGATTGTGCTAAAGAAAAAGCATCTAAGGTGTCCCAGAATCAAATTCTTTTATATGATTATACAGCCTTCAAGCCCTTCTCAGAATTCTTTAGATAAAGGTGCAAGGCAGCTCCATATGAGCCTGTTCTCAACTGATTCTGATTTTTGTAAAAGCTGACATTTGAAAGGACAAAATCAGAATCCAAAATGCAGGTATCTTGTAGCTTCTACTTTTGGCTTTTTTTTAGCTTTACCAAAGCGAAAGGTTGATAGAAAAAGCAACTGAGAACATCACATAACTGATATTGTAAAATCAGAAGCTAAAAGCAGGTTCAAAAAATCAGTTGAGAACAGGCCCTATAAGTCTGGACAATAACGTTCACTTTTAGCAGCAAATAACAAGGAGAAATAAGACTGCTAATAAGGCCACAATTAAATTATCTGGACAGAAGTCTGGTCTGCATGTCAGATTGTAAATACTAAGAAGGCTGCAACCAGATTAAAGTCCAATGCAACACCAACCTGGTTCATAAACTTTGTAGTGAAAGAAATGCCAAACTTCGTAGGAATTAGAGCAATTCCACGTTTCTTCCATCGATTATTACTATTGAACTGATCAACTTCTTTGCGAGCGTTATAAAGATCACAAGATGTCTTCAACTCATTCCAGATACGGTCCAAGGTGGAGTGCTCTATCTTTTGTCCATAATGCAATACTGATCCTTCTCTCTGAAAATTTATTTCCTAAAAGAAGAAAAAATAGACACACATAAGTTTTGTATGACGTTCAATACGTAGAAAAGTTCATCCATAAATGCCTTTCCATTCCCAATAATGACATCTTCACTCAGAGCTGCAATTATCATTACTAAGCATCTAAATTCGTGAAATCGGAAGGAATACCCTGATTTCTTCTGGGCTTTTCTTCAATTCCATAGCAATTCTCTGAACCCAGTTTTCAGTAATCAGCATGCCTTGTGGGCCACCAAATCCTCTGAAAGCCGTGTTACTAGGAAAATTAGTATAGCAGACCCTTCCATTAATTCTGACATTTGGTATCTCATAGACATTGTCTGAATGGAACATAGCACGCTCAAGTACAGCAAGTGACAGATCAAGTGAATTTCCACCATTATTGTATATTTCAAGATCCAATGCGAGGACCTTCCCATTGTTTGTAAAGCCAACCTACACCATATTATTCCAGGAAAATAAGAAGAAAAAATGAAGTTAACTCAGTCAAAAAAATCAAAAAGAAATAAAAGAAAACTGTAATAAAAAGTTTATCAATTACATCCAAAAGAATTTGGTTTGATATACGTCTCCTTTGAGAAAGAATTACATTGAACTCAGGATAGAGTTCCAAAATGAGACAAGAAGGAACTAGGCACCACTTTGGCCTACTTCATTGACACATTCATCATCCACCAAATAATCCACAATGTACCATATAGTCCAACAAAATTTTTTCAGACATTGGAGGAGACCTCATTTCTCTGTAATTTATCACCCATACTTCTTTTGATAAGACTCAATTGATGACGCATTGAGAGTTTTCTAACCAAATTTCGGAAAATTTTATAGCGATCAGTGGTGAAGAAATGGAGAGTAATCAACAGCACCATCTCACTGAACAATCTAGGTCATTTATGAAAGTTTAAACTCAATTATTCACTCCTTGCTCAGTGTTTATATTAGTCATAGTCAAATCTAAAGATACCTTATAAATGTACGGACTCTTCAAATGTTTTGAAATTCCAATTTAATGGATAAGTCCCACTTATCACCACAATAGTGTTCATATTAGACTTTCTTATTAAGTCAAAAGCTCTACAGTCTTATCTTCTATAAATTTCCAGTAGAACTACATTCCATGATCAAAAGAAGAAAAAGATGCAAACAAGAAAGATATCTCTGACATCATGGTAATCCTTGGACCCCATATACTGGTGAGTTAATATAAAATCAAAATACAAAAACTTTATGGCATAGAATGAAGCTTATGGTTGATTCTGAAAGATAATTAGTACCTTATACTTTCCAAGAAAGCTGTGCCGCTGACCAGTAATCATCATGTCAATGTCACGGTCCAAAGTAAGTTTTACTGGCCGATTTAACAAATAGGATGCAATTGCAGCACTAGCAGCAAGGAAAGCCGATCTTGTTTCTTTTCCACCAAACCCACCACCAATTCTCTTTGTCTTGCAAACAACTTTTGACATTGGAAGTCCAAGAACGCGAGACACATACTTCTGGTGCTTTTGCGGAGCCTAAAAATGAAAATTTTATGTCACAACTATCTGCCAGAAAGAGCAATGACAAACAAATTTTATGAAAATACAAAACAAATTTAAAGAGAGAGAGAGAGTGCTATAGTCATTGAACTTAGCTCTCCATCATTTAAAGGCTTTCTTTACCAATTTCCTCCTGTGTTTTTATACTCCAAAAATTTTCTGCCTAAAAATGGTCACAGAAACAAAAATGAGGTGATTTTATTAGTCCCATTAGAGAATGAACAAGACTTCTCTGATGGTTACTGCAATGGTCGTTCAATTGTACAAGTGTCATCTTTCTCCTACATGCTTTTCATCTCAACTACTTTACCTTCATATATAAAGCAGAGGGAAGCAGAACAGGAATGATATTTGAGTGCACAAGAACATCGGTAAGTCAATTTTCTTTTATATGAGCATCATGCAAGCCAAAACGAGCCAATCACAGTACACTCCCAAACATGCCTATTCATCACTTTTCAACATCCTCCCCATCACATAATCAAATGAGCTGTTGTAAAGGTGTAGAACTGTCATCTTCCAAAACCACCAGCCAAGAGCAAAACAAAATGCAAGTTGCAACTAACTTTATAATGTATCTGTGGCTTTCCAAAGTGTATCGTAATGGTATGATATAATCACCAAACATTATCATTTGTTAATGAAGTGCACTGCATTAAAGAACCAACTAAATACATTCCAAGTAATTAAATCCCTTGCATATGCAAGAAATTTACAACCTGTTATGTTATGCTTTTATTAGTCCCATTAGAGAACGAACAAGACTTCTCTGATGGTTACTGCAATGGTCGTTCAATTGTACAAGTGTCATCTTTCTCCTACATGCTTTTCATCTCAACTACTTTACCTTCATATATAAAGCAGAGTGAAGCAGAACAGGAATGATATTTGAATGCACAACTTTTCAACATCCTCCCCATCACATAACCAAATGAGCTGCTGTAAAGGTGTAGAACTGCCATCTTCCAAACCACCAGCCAAGAGCAAAACAAAATGCAAGTTGCAACAAACTTTATAACGTATCTGCGGCTTTCCAAAGTGTATCGTAATGGTATGATATAATCACCAAACATTATCATTTGTTAATGAAGTGCACTGCATTGAAGAACCAACTAAATGCATTCCAAGTACTTAAGTCCCTTGCATATGCGAGAAATTTACAACCAGTTATGTTATGATACCCCAGAAATACACTGGACAAGTTCATTTCCATTAAAAACTAAAGCCTGTGTCCTCAACAATGTCTACTTTTCTTGTCTACCATGCACTCGTGTTAGTAAATGCATACCCCACACCATCTGAAGGACAACTACATTCACTTCAATAATTTACTATTGGAGAAACAAGAGTTAACAATTAAGGGGGAATGGTACATTCTGCTTCTAAAAGTGATCAAAGCAGAAGAACAAGACATTGAAGCAGTAGGCTATTTGCAAGGTAGGGCTGAAATAAGCAGAAAGCAAGGCGGTTGCCCATTTTTAGATCCATCAAAAATAAATAAATCACACAACTGGAGCAGGTGAGAGACACATGACACCATAGATTTTTAACAGAAAGATCATAATCATCATCTTGATTTATCAGAAGCTCCAAGTTCTACCCCACTCTGAAGCAATATCACATTTTCTACCTTGTTTTGACTGACAAGATAATGAATGGAGAAATAGTTTATAAACTGACACTATAGCAAAGGCTGTAGAGATTAGAGAACACACATTCATGTGCTTCATTCAAGGCATAACAAGCAATGATACCTTTATCTGATTATGATGATGAAATGATAAAACTCAACAAGATCACTTCTTATACTGAGACCAGGAAAAAAATGACTGCAATGTCAGTTCATTAAAAGTGGGAAAGACAAAGAAGAAGAACAGAACAAAATAACAGATCTTTGGACTCGTGAAATCTTGTTATTGCCACGTTCTGCCAACTTTACATCTATGAACTCTAAAAAGACAGAATCATATGTGGCCTTGGAAAAATCTTCTCGATAATTGAGCATCAGTGAGGCTTGGGACTCGAAAATCCAGCACAATAATTTCATTAAAGCTGGGAAAGAAGAAGAAGAACGGAACCAAAAAAAAAAAGATTATCTTTGCACTCGTGAAATCTTGTTGTTGCCACATTCTGCCAACTTTATATTAATGAACTCTAAAAAGCCAGAATCATATGTGGTCTTGGCAAAATCTTCTTGATACTTTATCGCCAGTATGAGGCATGGGACTCCCAAAACCAGCACAATAATGATAAAGCTAGATAAGAATTCTAATGTTTATGTTGCAGGAACAAGGAGACAGAGAGGCTACTTTGATTTCATTCAAGTGAAAAGAAAAGATCTTGACTGGTGAAATCTTGCTATTGGCACACTCTGGTCAGTTTGCATGTATTAACTCTAAAATGCAAAAATTACATGTACTTTCTGCAGGATCGTCTATCTACTTTAGTGCCTGTATGAAGAATGGGATTCTTAAATCCAGCACTAGTATGCTAGTTAAAATTCTGCAAGTGCTTGCATGAAGCCACAGACAGGAGGGAGAGGTGCCGGGGGGGGGGGGCAAGAAACCACTTCTTTGTGTCCATTATTGAAAATCTTCCATGCTGTTCTTACACAAATAATTAACACATTCAAACATTGTGTTCCTCTAATTTTGCGGGTTTCCATTTGTTTTTCTCACTCAAAAAAATTCTTCAAAGTGTCTAAAAAAACCATCTGCAGCTATTAATCTTTCCTTTGGATTGGCGCATACAATAAATGTTACTATACACAAACATCTACTGGCATACAAAATTCAGATGCATATGAAGTTAGATGTTAACAGCTAAATTGTTCAAAATGTATTCATGCACCTTTATGCAGGTAGGGCTCTTCATCATCCTCATTCTCATTATAGAAAACTGTCAACAACAAAGTTACCTAACTAATCCATGTATCATTCTCAACTGTAATGATGTTGTGTGAAAACAACATTAGATATTAAGAGTCACAAAAGAACCCCCAAAGGAACTCTACTAATGAAATATAGATGAAGAAAAAAATCAAAGCATTTGTAGCTTGATGCCTTTCTTCCTCAGCTATTGCAGAGGAATTTATAGATACTAACTAGTGTTTAGAATCTATACTCATATAGAACTTGGAAATTAAGGTAAGATCATATAAAGGAGGTGAGAGTTTTGTACTTGGGTGGATGAGACCATATGAACTTCGTTGCCATTATCGACTGTCCATACTAAGCTGCTATTCGGCTCCAAGTAGAAATGTTCCTGACCACCGACCTGGACTTCCCCTTCCATGATTTTATCACACTGATCTGATTGGAAACACAGATCTACATCACCTTTCCTCAAACACTTTTCTGTATTAGGATGGAAACTGTTACAGTGAATGGCATCTTTTATAGATAAAATAGCTGGCAGTTCATCATACTCAATATGAACCCTTCTTGCAGCATTTTTTGCATTTTCATGTGTATCAGCAACAACTACTCCTATTACCTGAAGTGATAAGAACACAATTGAGACACTAGCAAATATCCCAAAATTAATTTTGAGACTGGCATCCTTTTGAGTCCATAACTCAATTAACATATTTTTAAAAGGTGCAAATAACAGATGAATGATCACGAGTTTGTAATTTATGATAACAGGTATCTGGAGTTCTTTGCATATTCATAGCAAGACTTCCCAAGCTAGTTATGAGACCTCAATTAATAATCTTCTTCAATTTTTTCATCAGGTTTCTTGAACAAATACATCTGCATATTCTTCACCTGGACAGGTATCTTTGTTAAAAGGTTTTAATAGTTATCACCTGTTCATATTTTTCCAGCTAATAATGGTCTATCTTCACCTTTATTCAGTATTGCTGTGATTGTTCCAGTTATTTACAGCTAGTAAAATTCAGGGATTTGCATTGCTCAGTCTAACCAAGGTACAAAGGCTTGACTCTGCTTTGGGTATGTCTCCAAAAGCACTTAGTGACTTAGGCAAGAAGTGTCAGAGTTTATCGTGCATTAATGAAATTCTAACTGTGCAACAACTTGTAGATTTGTCAGTGACCATTCAGATATTTTAACAAGAGTTCAACTATTTGGTAAAACACAATTATGTCTCGCTGATTACCAAAACTTTAATCCATCTATAACAGAAAAAAGAAACTTCAAAACATAATATCTACCTGACCAACACAAGTGACAAATTCCGAGGCAAAAAGTTCCTCATCTGCAATGACAGGCCCAATATTATTGTTACCGGGAATATCTTTAGCAAAAAAGATTCCAGCAAACCCAGGTGAAGACTTGGCTCCAGAATCGTCAATAGACAGTATACGTGCATGAGGCTTTTTACTTAGCACCAAAGCAGCACACAAACTGTTGGGAGGCACTGGGGTATCATCAGTATATTCTGCCTCTCCTGAAACCTGTAAACAATTAAAGCATCACCTAAGACCTCAGAATATTCATTTCTTCAAAAATCCCATACTCAAGCATAAGAATCTAACCTAACTACTGCCAAAAATTTCTAATTAGTTCAAAACATCAAAATAGAGCAAATATAAGCAAGTATTGCCAAAAAGGAACTGCAGTGGATTCACATAATTCAAATGACTGAGGCAAAACTTTAAAAGCAAAGAAATGAAACAACCAAAGAAATCAAGAAGATTCTTTGTGCTTGCAGATAGAAAACATGACATTATGCATGAAACAATTAAACCAGTGTACACTGGTGTAGCAACCAAAACCCCATGCCCTAAAGGAAGCCTCTGCTTGTGTAGCATATGGCACTTCAGTAAAGACAACAGGTATCAGGGACGGATAGAGCTAGATAAACTATGTGAACCATCCCAACTAAACTTTACATGATCTCATGAGGTAATAAAACTAGCTAGACAATTGCTCTCTTTACAGGGTATGGCACAAAATGTTTAAGTCACAATTTGTCCATTTAGCTGGCTCTTTCTCTAACATGCATGCAGAGGAATAAATACAAAAGAGCTGTTAAAAATCATAGTTACTGTTATCGAGCATTTCCCTTCATATCAAACTTACACAAATTCAAAATTGTGTGGACAGTAATTTTTGTGATTTGTCATCTACAACTTTAACAAGTTCATTACTTCATAGAGGTTCATATGACACCAACAAGCTCATGGCAGTTGAAATCCATGTTAATAGAAAAACATATGTCACAATCTACAAGACAAAAGATTAAATGCCTTTAAAACAAAAGACAGATTAAAGATTAACTAAAATCAGGAGTATGAAAAAGAAAGTTATGCTGTCATATCAAAAGCAGAGTACAGATAGTTATTCCATTCACCAAGTGTTAACACCAGTGATGAACGAAAGCTAAAGAGCAGACAGCAACAACAAAATTAGCTGTTCCATGTGTTCACATGGTCAAATTAGCTGAAACCTGTAAATTTGAAGCATCGAATTATATGCTGAAGTAAAGAAAGCCAAACAACATGAAAACCAACAAATGCTAGCATCTAATCGCAAACCAATAATAAGGCTAACAAATTCTGTCAATGACCTAGTAATATATTATGCAACTTTGTCTTCTCACAAAGATATCGGACTTGACCATAGTTGCTGATACAATATATAGCTCTTGTTTGATGCATGATTCTTTTTTTTTTTTTGGTAAGTGAGAGGTCTTGAACCCAAGACCTCTTCCTTACAACCCCTCCCACCTTACTGCCCACCCCAACCATCCCCCCCTGATGCATGAAATTTGGCAACTGTCTATCAGGCAAGTAGTAAATGCAAGAAATTAACAATTAAAACATCAACCATCCGATTTCTCCTCTACTCTTACTTTTTGCTTTCCTTTTTTTAATTTTTTTTGGTGCAGGTTGAGAAAATTCTTGCCTGAAGTTTCGAGGAAAGATGGACTTCAGGAGACCCTACAGCAGTTCCATGTTTTGTTATGTCAAAGTCCTGACTTCCAGTTACAGATGTTCGATGAAATGGTTGTATGGCTGAGAGATGGGATGATGGAATGCCTGAAGGACAGGATGTTTGTCCATCAATGTGGTGACATACCCACAAGAAAAATTTGAAGAAGAAACTAAGTGTTAAAGATTTTCTGAACTCAACCATTCCGCCAGGAGCATTTTCTTTCAACACAATGTCCTCCTGTAGAACTTCCAAAGCATCCTGCATTAGCTCCTTGCTCCAAGTCTTTCCAATCAGAAATAGTTTTGTTTTATATGCAAAAAGGGGAACAGGAGCTACACCACCATAAACAATTGAAGCATCAGAAATTACCCACTTTGTATCCCTCTGTTCAAAAAGAACCCTCATTCCAGCATTAACAATTGCAATATCATCATCCCTCCGGTGAGCTTGCTTAAATTCCTTGACAAACTCATATTGCTTATTCCAAGGTAAAAACACTGAGTGCAGGATTTCACTACTAGCCATATCCACCTTGCGATAACCTAGGAAAAACTTTTCAGCCAGGCATGTTCTAATGTTCCCTTTGCCATCAATGATGCAGAACTTTGCTCCTGCAGCCATCCAAAGAGGATTCAAGTCTGATATTGGACTGGCAGTACAGATATTTCCACCAATAGATGCAGCATTCCTTATTTGTGTTCCGGCAAACCATTTGATCTGCTCAATGAGAGCTCTACATGATGAAGTCTCATAGAGAGGACGCTTGCCTGAAACAGTTTGCAGTACTTTCATGAGCTCTGAAAGTTTAACAGCAGCACCTATTTCCATACCTTCATCATTGAGACTCAACTGGTTAAGTTCAGGGATGTGTGCAATATATATCAAAGCCCGATATTCCATCCTTTTGAGCCTCATTTCAATACCTACCTCAGTGTTACCTACAACTAATTTTGCATCTGGATGTCTTGCTTTTAGGTCTAATACATGCTGAAGCTTCAAAGGCCTATACCAATTCAGGCCATTTAGTCCAGTTAGACATAAATAAGTTAGTTTTCTCAATAAAAGCTCAGGGGGGAATATAAGCTCTTTGTTGGTGAATATCGTTCCATCAGTATCACTATAGGAGACTGGACTATAATCATCAACAGAGCACCTATCTGTTTTTAGCTTCTCATCTTCATTTCCTGGTTTCAACCCACAAGAACATGGCTTTCCAGTTGAAGGGCATATAAACTGACCACTATGGCCTTCCAAGGCTCCATTAACATATAAGCTGTCATTAGTCTTGGCAAACACTCGAAATGCATCAACAATGGGTCTATAACCTGTACATCGACAAAGATTTCCAGCAAGGCTTTCTTCAATCTGCTCTAGTGTTGGTGGTTCTTGAGACGACCGTAGCAATGCGTAAATGGACATAATGAAACCAGGAGTGCAAAATCCACACTGTGAGCCATGAGAACATGCTAAGGATTCCTGCAAAATAATCAAAGAAGAAACAACACCAAATTCACAATCAAGTAAAGCATCCAAGGGTTTCTGACTTATAATTGACCTCCAAATAATCAATACCACGTCAAACCAAAAGGTGTTAATGGAAACCTACCACTCTCATATCTCAAATTACTGATCCTGTCACCTCTGGAATTACTGATCCATTTTTCCTTTTCTTTTTCTTTATGGTTGCACAAGTATACTTAAAAAAAGTTTGTCTCCATTATAGTTCAATAATTCTCTAGACAAGAAAAAAAAAAATCACACGCATGACTGGTTGCAAATCATGCATGCATAAATTAGGCAACCAACCTGGACAGGATGTAGGCCACGCCTGCAATTCCCAACACCCTCCACTGTTATTACATGCATCCCTTCAACAGAATATAGAGGAGCCAGACACGCATTAATTGCTTGGTGCCTAGAAATTTAATGAGGATCAAAAACAATGATGTCAGATGATGTCAATCTATGAAACATTTGCATCAAATGAATTTAAATTATTAGCTAGTCCAACAAGAGAAATAAGATTAAATAACAAATAGAGCACCACACATCGTAACACACAAATCATGTAGAAAATAAATTCATAGTGGGAAAAGGCGGACAAAAAAGTTGAAGCAAAACCTTGTAAATAGGGTGTAACCCAAGAGTTCTAATGGAAAACGAATATAATGAATTTCATGTGATTTCATGCACAGGCAATGCCCTAGGCCTCTGTACTTATATTTTGCTTTTAGAAGTTAAACTGTTTTCACAGGTATGAAATGCATATTCAACCAAAAGAAATACAATTCTTGCAGCTCATCACACACCGCTATTTATTTTTTGGCTTATCACAAAAATTATAACATAATCCACATAAAAAAATCAAATGTTGGAAAAGAGCATAATCAATTCCTTGCTTGTAAGGTATGTGTAAAAGCCATACACGGTTACAAAGAGAGAATATAACATTATGGAAAGATATGGTCGTATCACATTTAAGTCATGAATTTCTGCTCCTATCTAACAAGCCACACATCAGCAAAGGTAGAATTATGAGGAATAGAATCTGTATACAACTACCACAGGATGATAGCATTTCTTCTGAATGAGACACTGACAGAAACGTGAAAAGAATAAGTAATGTATTGGTCAATGACCAAACTCTGGGTTTTTATGCAAATTCATGAAAAACCTTAATCAGGAGCTAATCTTGCTTGAAACCTGAAATTCAATGAGATGGACTCAAAGAAGAAGAAAATAGTAATTTAAACGTCAAAAGATAATGAATGAAATACATGCTAAACATGAATATGAATAGAAATCAGCTATATGATGGGATCCTTTGATTCAATAAAATCCTTCCTCCATGTCATCATATCCAGAGCATATGAAAGTTTTCTAGATGTAATTTAATTTCTTGAAGCTCTCCACAAATCAAGAATACAAGAGAACTATCTCTCAAGCTAATAGAGTTTTGATAACCTCGTGTTAGGCTGCATACATAATTTTAGTTGCTCTAGAGTCATATCACTCGCAAAGTATCTCACTGAACTCTTGCTCTTCTATTTACATTGAAGTGGAAATATGAGTAATCATTGGGTAAAGAGGAAGAAAATCCTATAATGTGAGAATAACCAGAAAATATCGCAGACTGGTGGAGAATGCCAATCTATTTTGTACGGTCATGTTGTGGACTGCATTTACATCTGATGTCAAATGGAAGTTCGACAAACGAGTGAGAAAAAAGTGTTTGTTTTTTTTTGTTTTGTTTGGGGGGGGGGGGGCGCTGCTCTGATCCATGATCACAATATGTGGTTTTTTGGCAAATCCATGGAACTCGTTTTGTTTCAAACCTCAATCTCTATGAAATGAACCCAAAGAAGAAGAAAACAGTCACTTAAATGGCAAAAGACACCGAACCAAAATATAAGCTACACCCAAATAGTTATAAAAGTCATTAAATCTTTGTATTCCTAATTTAATGCCTTGCTTATCCTTATCTCCTAGTCAAAACTTATAGTAGAATTTCTTCTGGTGACAAGTTGGAAGTCCAAAAAGTGGAACATGAAATACATGATGTCCACTCAAGGAGGGCTTGCACAAAATTGATGGAACCTAAGCATGAAATATTGATGATCAAATAGCACATTTTTTCCTCAGAGGGTGAAGGGGAAATCATTCATGCAACACCGTGCACCAAACCCCCAAAAGAGCAATATACCTTTCAAGACAATTTTTTTGCCAAAAACATTTTATGGGGTGAAGCACAAAGTCAAACTCTATTTGATGCTTAAAGCTTAAAATAACAATGCTAGTTGCTCATGCTTACACTGTAAAACAATAGCAGATTTTAAAATATGTCAGGTTGCTTTACAAACATCACATGGTACACTGCTAAGAATTTCAGAAATAAGGACACAACCAGTCAAGGACCACAGTCAATCACATCTAGTATACATTAATAGACACTCATGTAACACATGCATGGTAAACTTACTCATTACTGAATTTTGTGAACAAGGTTTAAACATTTATGTCTTACTATACATGAGGAGGAGGTTGTACGAAATGCATTATCCTTTTACATTTTAACAATCATAGAAAAGCTTACATGTTAACATTTGGATGGAAAAAATATATTTTGCATTACACAATCATCAATGAAAGTAACTAGCAGTATTTTATATGTAGCTACAGTTTTAGCACCTGACTTGGAAATGCCTTTGCCTACCATCATGCAGTCCACTTGAGCTTTTGTTGTTAGAGAGTAATTCATAGTCAGTACTACTTAATTATCTACAATTCCAAAATGGTAAAGTGTCTATAATTAATAGTTGAAATTAAAACTCTATTAAGAAAAATATTATCGCAAACTTGTGCCAGATTGTAATATGTAGCTGCTCACGAAATAGTTCAGATGAAAATCAAATATTTGTGCTTGAATTTTGACTTAGAAACTTAAGCTCAGTCATGTATCAAAGACGCATCCGGAGCCATCCTTTAGCGTTCATCACACATTCAAGGTGATCACAAAAAACAAGCAGAAACGTTTACATTACTTTTCTTTCCGTATCTATCTCAATTTAGTAGCTTAAGCGAACATCAAGCAATGAAAAGGAGAAAAACAAAGCAAGAAGAGTCTCTGGAACAATATCTACACTGTCAGCAAGTGCCCAGAGCGGGTATGTGGTCTTTTTGTGGGAGAGAGAGAGAGAGAGAGACTCACACACATTTCTTTTTGTTTTGATCAAAAAAAGAAACCATGACAGTGCATGCCCCACAACCACCTTCACCGCATCCTAGCTTGGTACCAGTCAAACCTATACCTAGATTACCATTCAGAAAGCAAGACAGATATAATAGTTAGTTATAAGAAACACCCAAAATGTTTAAGTACAGACAAAATTTAAAGGAGATAGGGAGCTGGGAAGTCGCATTGCATAAAGTCTAATAAAAACACAAAAAACCAAGCAACTTCAACCCTTGCACCCAAATCCATGTTACTGTAAGTGTTTAGGAATGACCAGGTCCTATATCAAGAAATTAGAGTTTTTTTAATTACAGAAATGTTAGCATAAGTTCACGATCTGTGCATCTTAACAACCATAATGATGTCTAACAAAGAACACAAAACAGCCTACCTCAGGTCTTTACCAAGTTATGAGCAGAAATACCTAAACAATGACAAAGAGAATCAAGCACGTGAAAGAATGATGGAGATAAATTTAAAAAAGCTAAATAACCTGAATGTGTCACATTTGTTAAATGTTCCTAAAATGAACTTCGTCCTCTATAAAATGTTTAAGAGTGTATAATGAAATACAAGTAGTCAACATATCACTATATTGAGCTGACCAATATCCCAAGATCCAAAAACGTACTAATAGTCTAGCAAGGAAAGAATAATCAAATGTCCAGATACATGATAACGCATCTCGAATAGTAAGTATTCCTTGTCGATCTGAGACATTTATCATTCATAGATATGACTTGCTTTATTCCATTCCCAAGGTCTATGTATACTAGCAGAGAAGCACCCCTTTTTGGCAGGGAAAATTAGCATAAACGAGAAAGAAACTCTAAGACAAGAATACTTGCTCAGTGGTTGCCTCTCCATTAGTCAGTATATGATGTTATCTAAGCCAAAGAGAACTATAAACATTATCAACTTATTTCCATTTCCTTAATGTTCATCAGAACAAAACCCTTGGGTACATCCAGCAAGAAAATGGACATCTTCAAGCAACAAAATTACCACAGCAAAAAATAATTAAAAAAACAAACACGATTGCTTAATACAACAGCCAACAATACATCTATCAACCTCTGGTGACAGCTTAACAATACAGGACTTCCTGTCATCCCAAACTGGCTAACTATATCTCATGTTACATACCCACCTTATTTAATTATCTTCTTCCTATTGTCATATCTAATCCACCTTTTTTTTTTATAATTTTCTCCATTATGAACACATTTGGAATCAGAAGAAATTAGGATCTTGGACATTCATAATCCACAAAGAAACTAAAATTCAATCAGTAAGTATGAGCATAATTGAATGGCCATATTTAAACAATTTCAGAATTAAGCCACAGTATCAGACACACAAAACCATTGCTTCACCAGTGAATTCCTACTCAATCAGTCAACATAAGCAATTCTCGCAGCCATCTTTTGTCAACTTGAAACTATACTTTTTGCTTGAGAAAACTTTCAAGAACTAAACTACAGTAGCAGACACACAAGACCATTGTTTCACCTGTGCCCAGCCATCTTATCGCCTACTTAAAAACTACTCTCCTTGCTTAAGAAACTTCCAGCAAGTCAAAATTTAAATTCTAAAGAATTTTTCAATTTGGGCATGGCCTCAAACCTTTTTCCCATAATTACCATTATCTTACCCATGATTCAAATTACTCATCATAATCCCCTATGAATGATGGAACACAATAGCAGACAATACATATTTATTGTTGATAGAATTTAAACTTATGAGCATTTTAAACGGAAAAATAAACCAAAGAAAAAATCAACAACAACAACAACGAATCAAGCAAGGAAGATTTCCCATAAATTAGCCTTCCAAATTACCTCTGAGATACTCAAGAAGAGTCAAATGAGCCAATCCATCAGGCAAAACTCGACGGACACCATTAACATATAAGATTGCTTCCTTTGACTCCTCTACTTCCATCCTCACCATTTCAGTGTCCTCCAAAGACCCCATTTAGTCTCTGTGCACAAGACTCTTTTGAGTACGATCAAATTGGAAATTTTCTGCCGCTATATCTGTACTGTACTGTATCGGTCGAAATAATTAGCCAGATGAGAAATTCTACAAGTCGAAGACGACAACAAACGGAACTTCCTGTTTTGGAGGAATCACAGCCACACAAGTTTTCAAGAAGCCAGACAGATGTCTAAATATTAAGCACATGTTGTCAAGGTGAATGTAACCGGAGAGACTCTTTGAGATTCGTCATAAAGCAGACTGTAATGAAGTCAGTAGCTTAAGAAGGAGAAGGCGTGGTACGTAGATAAAAGGGAAGGCGTGGAAATGGTGGAACGGAGTCAAGCAAAGACGTGGACTGACAGAGTCAACAATTAGCAATACATAGAGGAGGAAAGGCCTGAGGTCCAGGAAAGGAAAGACGTGGGAACAAAGAGCGAAGGCGTGACCAAGAAATCACGCCTTTGCTGGCCTTTGCTGGGTTCATGCTATTCTTGCAGTAACTGAGGACTAGACGGGCTTGAAGATTCCCTTTACACGTGTTAATCACTCATTCGTGATTGGAAGAAGTTAGTTAGAGTAGTTTACTATAAATATTACGATCATGTAATCGTTAGGGAGCCTTTTGTCAAGATTTGTTTCTGCAATCAGAGAGAAAATATTCCCTCTGCCTGTCTTTTCCCTCAAGTTTCTTGCATTCTTTTTTCCCCTTCTCCTCTTTCCCGCCAAATCTGATTCTGTATCCAAATTTGAAGTTCATCAATAAAATTGGTGTTGTTCGTTTAATTCATATTCCATTTGAGTGTTAGCAAAAGTTCTGATTACTTCAATATCTCCATTCCCAGTTGCGTTGTTGGTTCTGTACTACAACAGTGGTATCAGAGCTGTGTTCACGAGCCATAGGGATGACAAAGAATTAGGATGAAACACTGAGAAGAGAGGTAGTAGAATTGGGTAGTGTGGTCAGAACCTTCACTAACAAGAATGAGGGAATGGAGCAAGCCATCAGATCAATGGAATACAGGCAGGATGCTACTGAAAAGCTACTGAAGGGAATTGATCAAAAGTACGAAGGAATGATGAACATGATGGCTCAGCTAATGTCTAAAGTGAATGATCGGGGAAAGGAGTTGGAAGGTAGCAGCAGCTCAAAGGAGATAGCTCAACCAGAGAGATCTAGATTGGATTCACAGAAGGAAAGGGCTGGAAGAAGAGAATTCAGGAACATCAACAAGTTACCTAAAATGGATCTCCCAATCTTTGATGGGGATAACCCTAGGGAGTGGATCAGGAAGGCCAGCAAATATTTCAAAATTCATGAAATAGCAGATGATATGAAGTCAGAAGTGGCAGAACTCTATTTTAGGGATAGAGCAGATATCTGGTTCCATGGAGTCTTCCATGGAAAGGAAGTAATACCTTGGGAAGAGCTGACTACTGCTTTGTGCATTAGATTTGGGGAAGGGAAACCCGAGGAGGCCATAGAGGAGTTCAACAAGCTAACACAAACTGGATTAGTAGCTGAGTACCTGAAGAAATTCAAAATGCTAAAGGCCCTGGTAATGCCATCCCTACCTCATTTGTCAGATTCCTATTATAAAGCATGCTTCATGAGAGGATTGAAAGAGGAAATTGTCAATATGGTGAAAATATCTAAATCTGAATCCTTAGCTGATGCCATTGAGATAGCTAAATTGCAAGAGAAGAACTTAAAAGCTATACAGAGAATACACAAATCTGTTCCTGCTAGCTTTAGTGGCCAGAAGAGTCAATCGAGGGCACCTTCCCAACCTAGATGGAACCAGGGCAGCCCCAAGCACCCCCTTAGGACTCATAATCAGAACTTTTCCAACCAAAACCAGTTCAAAAGGATCTCCCCTGAAGAATTTAACCTGAGGAGGGAAAAAGAACTGTGCTATAAATGTGCTAAGCCCTATACTATGAGACATGTATACAAACAGTCCCATGTTCACTACTTATTGGCTGATAGAGAGGAGAATGCAGAAGGAAACAAAGAGCAGGAGGATGAGGTATATTGTGACTGTATTAATGGGAACCGGCAGACGAACACATAGAGGTGTCAGTACATGCATTGGCTGGGGGGGTAGGGCACAAAACCATAAAGTTGAGAGGCATAATCAAGGGAAGACAGGTTATTGCACTAATAGACAGTGGCAGTACCCACTGTTTCCTGGATGAACAATTGGCAAAGGAGTTGAAACTTGGTACCAAGGGGCCTATTTTGATAGTGAATGTGGCAAATGGGGACAAGGTGGATTCTAAGGGATTAGATAGACCCCTGCAATGGGAAATGCAAGGTCACCAATTCCAACATGCCTTCAATACTCTGAAGTTAGGAGGCTGTGACATGATCCTTGGAGTAGACTAGTTGGCCAAACACAGTCCCATAGAGTTCAATTTCAAGGAGCTCAGCATGAGAGTTCACCAAGGGAAGCAGGAAATAATACTAAAAGGAGGGGATAACAGTACTAGATTAAAGAAACTCAAAGGAAACAGACTGGAGAGGTGGCTGAAGAAACAGGCATATGGGGTGGTAGCACAGCTAGTGGCAGTAGAGGAGGTGGATGATCCAGAACAGACTCCAGCTGAAATCATTCAAGTGCTTGATCAGTACAAAGATGTCTTTGAGGAATCCAAGGGAATGCCTCCAACTAGAAGTCATGACCACCACATTGTCTTGAAAGAGGGGGCCAAGCCTTTCCAAATAAGGCCATATAGATGCCCCTACATTCAGAAGGCAGAAATTGAGAGACTGGTAAAAGAAATGCTGGAAATAGGCATCATTCAGCCCAGCAGCAGTCCCTTTGCCTCACCAGTATTGTTGGTTAAGAAAAAGGATGGATCATGGAGGTTCTGTGTGGATTACAGGCACTTGAACGAGTTAACAGTGAAGAACAAATTCCCTATGCCCCTAATTGAAGAACTAATAGATGAGCTACATGGAGCTAGGTACTTCACCAAGATTGACTTGAGAGCTGGATACTTCCAAATCAGGGTCAAGGTGGAGGACATTCCAAAAACAGCTCTCAGAACTCACCAAGGGCTCTATGAGTTCAAAGTCATGCCATTTGGCTTGACCAATGCACCAGTGACCTTTCAAAGCTTGATGAACCAAGTCTTCCAAGAACAGATGAGGAAGCATGTACTGGTGTTCTTTAACGATATCCTGGTTTACAGCCCAACAATGGAGATGCATGTGAAGCATGTGACTGAGGTAATGGACATTCTGAGAAAGCAACAATTATATGCCAAGATAAGCATATGCACTTTTGCACAGCAGCAGGTGGAGTACTTGAGCCACATAATATCAGCAGAAGGAGTTCAAGCTGATTCTAAGAAGATAGAGTGCATGGAGAATTGGCCAAAACCAACTAATATCAAACAACTGAGGGGATTTCGTTGACAGGCTGCTACAGAAGATTTGTCAAAGGTTATGGGGCCATAGCAAGACCCCTGACCAACCTGCTGAAGAATGACAGATTTCTTTGGAATGAAGACTCAGAAAAGGCTTTTCAGGAGCTAAAAAGGGCCATGTGCAATACCCCTGTACTAGCAGTACCTGACTTCGCTCAACCCTTCACCATTGAGACAGATGCCTGCTATACTGGCATAGGAGCTGTGCTGATACAGAACAAGAGACCTATTTCCTACCTTAGCCAGGCCTTGGGACAGAAGAATATGGGGCTATCGATTTATGAGAAAGAGTTACTAGCATTGGTAATTGCTGTGACCAGATGGAGACATTACTTGGAGGGGCACCACTTCATCATACATACTGACCACCAAAGTTTAAAGTATCTGCTGGAGCAGAGGATCACTACTCCTCTCCAACAGAAGTGGCTCACCAAGCTGCTTGGACTGAGCTACGAAATTCACTACAAAAAGGGGAAGGACAATGTGGCTGCTGATGCACTTTCTAGATAGGGTAGAGAGGAATTAGGGGAGTGCACAACCATATCCTGTGTAGTACCTACTTGGATCAGGGAGGTGATTGATAGTTATGAAGGGGATGAGTGGGTCCAGGAGTTCATATCACAGGTGCTGCTGACTCCCACACAAGTACCTGATTACACATACTACACATACCAGGATGGTATACTCAGGTACAAGAAGAGGTTAGTAGTAGGAAGTCAAGGTGGCATCAGAGGAAAGATCATCACTGCACTGCATGATTCCCAAATAGGTGGACACTCAGGCATTCAAGCCAGTTACTTGAGAGAAAAACAACTATTCTATTGGCCAGGAATGTACAAGGAGATCAGGAGGATGGTTCTGGAATGTGACACCTGCAAGAAATGTAAGGATGAGCATGTAGCGTACCCAGGCTTACTACAACCATTACCTACACCCCAACATTCATGGAGTCATGTCACCATGGATTTCATTGAGGGTCTGCGACAATCTGAAGGGAAAAACACCATCATGGTGGTGGTGGATAGGTTTACCAAATATGCTCATTTCATCAGTATATCACATTCATTTGATGCCCCAAAAATAGCTAGACTTTTCATCGATCATGTTAGTAAACTACATGGGATCCCTCAGAGCATGCTGTCTGACAGGGATAGGCTATTTGTTAGTCAATTTTGTGGAGAGTTATTCAGTATGCTGGGAGCTAAACTGAACTACAGCACAGCCTATCACCCTCAAACTGATGGCCAGACCAAGAGAGTAAACCAAGTGCTGGAAATGTACCTCAGGTGCCTGATGCATTCAGAACCAAATGGAACCAGTGGTTATCTATGGCGGAGTGGTGGTACAACACCTCATACCACACTGCCATTCAGATGACTCCATTTGAAGCATTATACGGCCTTTCCCCTCCTCAGCTAGCTCTGGGACCCTACCTGCAATCCAGAGTAGCTGCTGTTGGCGAGTACGTCCAAGAAAGGCAGCAAATAGACAACATCCTGAAGCAGAATTTGAAGCAAGCGCAGGAAAGGATGAAGAGATATGCTGATGAAAAGAGAAGTGAAAGGGAGTTCAATGAAGGTGATTGGGTGTACCTACGGTTGCAACCGTATAGACAAAGCTCAAAATCCTTGAGGGGAAACACCAAACTCTCAACAAAGTATTTTGGTTCCTACAAGATTGAGGAAAGAATTGGGAATGTCGCTTACAGACTGAATCTGCCAGCCGCTTCAAAGGTCCACCCCGTTTTTCATGTATCCCTGCTCAAGAAGAAGATAGGGGATAAGATCACACCTACACTACAATTGCCAGAAACAAATGAAAAGGGGCACTGGAGGGTGGAGCCAGTAGCAATACTGGGTAGGAGGCTAGTAAAGAAATGAAATGCTGCTGCAACCCAATGGTTAATCCACTGGTGAGGCACAGATCCTGCGGAAGCCACATGGGAGGATGCTGAGGAGATTAGAAAACAGTTCCCCACCTTCCAATCTTGGGGACAAGATTTGCTGCAAGGGGGGGTATTGTAATGAAGTCAGTAGCTTAAGAAAGAGAAGGCGTGGTACGTAGATAAAAGGGAAGGCGTGGAAATAGTGGAACGGAGTCAAGCAAAGACGTGGACTGACAGAGTCAACAATTAGCAATACATAGAGGAGGAAAGGCGTGAGGTCCAGGAAAGGAAAGACGTGGGAACAAAGAGCGAAGGCGTGACCAAGAAATCACGCCTTTGCTGGGTTCATGCTGTTCTTGCGGTAACTGGGGACCAGACGGGCCTGAAGATTCCCTTTACACGTGTTAATCACTCATTCGTGATTGGAAGAAGTTAGTTAGAGTAGTTTACTATAAATATTACGATCATGTAATCGTTAGGGAGCCTTTTGTCAAGATTTGTTTATGCAATCAGAGATAAAATATTCCCTCTGCCTGTCTTTTCCCTCAAGTTTCCTGCATTCTTTTTTCTCCTTCTCCTCTTTCCCGCCAAATCTGATTCTGTATCCAAATTTGAAGTTCATCAATAAAATTGGTGTTGTTCGTTTAATTCATATTCCATTTGAGTGTTAACAAAAGTTCTGATTACTTCAATATCTCCATTCCCAGTTGCGTTGTTGGTTCTGTACCACAACACAGACAGAGATGCCCGGACAAGAAGAAAAAAAATAGTTATTTTATTTTGGACTCACAACTCTTTTGCAATTTCAATTTAACCTCAGTGTAATTTGCTTTAAAACAGAATTGTTCGAAGGAAAATGTTATTTGCACTTTTACTATTTATTTTGTTATATATTCTAATAAATAAAAATTACACGATTAGAATGATAGTGGAGCATAATTAACAAAAAAGGGAGTGCAAATATCATTTTTCTTTCTAAATTTTTGAATTGGGTCGGGGTGGTTTAGTGGTTAATCATTTAGCCCCTTCACATTTAATTGTGGTTAGGCCATGGCCTAGCTTTAGGCTAAAACATGGCTAGAATTAGAAGATTTTGGTTAAAATAGATTTGTTTTGTGAGGGACGTAAAATTAGTATTTTAAATGTCAAGGGTGTAAATTTTCTTTTGGTAAAATATGAGGAATGTTTGTGTAATTTTTCATTCTTTTATTACAACAAACTCCTTCAGTTATTTTCATGATTGCTTTGCTTCCTTATTTTCATGATTATTGATTAACCAACAAAGGTAAGCGATTCTTGTTTTGGATGTAGGAACTTTATGACTAAATATGTCAATGGGTACGATCTGGTTTGATCCCTTTAATCCAAATCCAAACCCATTTAATTTAGTTAGATCTAGATCCAAATCTAGACCCTTTTGGGTCTGAAAAAGTAAGTCTATACCCAGACCCTTATGAATTTGAGTATCCAATGAGCATCCATGGGTATTTTCTGAACATACTAAAGTAAAAATGTATTTAAAATATATAGAGTTCATAAATAATATAAATACCATCCAATTTTTGTTTTCAAATAATAAAATTAACATTCGACAAGTTGAATGCAATATTGTGAACTCAAAAAAAGAATTATTATTGACTACTTCTATATATTTTCAAAGATTCAACTTCATCCATTCCAATATTTCATTTGTTTGCCTTTACCTTTTCTCATTTTCTTGAAAAAGTTTGTACTAATTGCAATGACAACTAGGATTAGTTTTTAAAAAAGAAAACAACCATAACATATATAAATATTTAATCTTATTAAAAAAATGTAATTTTGTACCTTTGTTCTGATTTAAACCTCAATATTGGTAGATGTCTCGCAATCTAACACTAAAATAGTGAATGGCATAAAAGTCAATTGACTAAGGACTGATGGTAAATAAATAATAGAATAAGAAGCTTTACAAACACTTATTCATTTTTTATTTGATTCAATCTAATCATTAATAGTCACTAATGTTTCAACCATATCTAAAAGCAATTTGGCACGAGTCTCATCAATCACCCAACTACTAACACTAAATGCAGATTCTGATGCCATAAAATCTTACTATATTCGATCCAATAGCCACAAAATATTAGATTATTTTATAAATTTACTAATATATATTATTTAATTGAATATATATCGGATGGAGTAAAATCTGGTATAGGTTTAGATTTGAATATGGATTCTAGAAAACCAAACCCTACCTAGACACACGATTCTCTCACTGGGTCTGGATTTGAGAAATTAAATCCAAACCCTACTCAAATATAGTGGGTCTGGATTGAATTTGGGTAAAACCCGATCCATTGACATGCCTATTTATGACACATTGTATTTATTTGTTATATAGGTACATAAATGTCAGATTTGGCTAATTTTAGATACTAATTTTTGAGTAAAAATAAATTATGGTACTTGTACATTTTCTTTCAAGAATATTTAAGTGATTTGCACAATAGAATTTTGGGTAAAAAACAAAAAAAACCCCTGTGGTAAACCTAATATACAGAAAAGCCCCCCATGATTTCAAAATATACAACACGACCCCTCATACTTTGAACTAAATTGTAAAGGTGACGAAATCCGTTAAACTTAACGGAAATGGACGAAATGATCAAAATGCCCTAATATAATTAAGCAAAAGACATATCAAAAAAATTATTTGTTTTATTCTCTAAATAGAGATAGAATTGAGGGTTAAGGGATAGAATAGGTATATTTGATAAAAATTAGGTATAAAATTTTTTTTTAGATTCCAATAAGTCATTTCTGTTAAATTTAACGGATTCTGTCACCTTTATAATTTAGTTCAAAGCATGAGGTGTCGTATTATATATTTTGCAACTATAAGGGATTTTTCTGTGTATTAGACTTACCACATGGGGCTTTTTTATTTTTTACCCTAGAATTTTTATACGTCATTTGGGAGTTGTCTTCTTGAAATTAAAATAAGAGTAATGTAGCTATTACTTAATTAGTTATAAAAAAAAAGTTAGACAAAGTTTTAAGAATTAATTACTAATGGGAACTAATGTTAGTAACATAGTGAGTATGATTTAAGTACTAAAGATTGGATAAATATAAGACAAGTCTTGATAAGTTTCTTTTGTAATTGATATGCTACACATTAAGAAGGTTTCGATAATTAAGTGATAAGAAAGAATGAGTTCTAGAATATTTAATTGATGATCAGTTGAGTTAATAAGCAAAATGATTGGTTCACTTCATAATAAACATAGAAGAGTCATCTATAAGGACTAGTGTGCAGCTACGTAGGTATTTGTTCATTGGTTTATCTACGAATGATATTCAATAGTCACTCGTTAAGATGTGCTTCAAGTGTTAAAATATTGAAAAAAATAAAATTAATTAGAAAAAAGTATATAAATGAAAAAGAGGTTAATAAGTATTAGTGTATACATAAACATGGTAGGTTGACTGTGATTTAATGTGTCAAGAGTATTTATTGAACACTATTAGAAAAACCCTTTGATCTTTCTTGTGACTGATAACTTAAAAGTTCAGCATCAAAAGGGCTTTAAACTAAGTGACCAGTTGGCTAGGCTTATAGAAGGTTTTTTCCTAGTGAATTGATGATAAACTTATCAATAAAACAAGAAGGAACTTTTGGAAAGCTTGAGAATTGTATCTGATATGCTTAATGACTGCAAATAATTAAGGGAGTTGCAAATCACTCTATTAAGTGCATGAAGATTGGTACTACCATATAAAGGTGCATGCGAGTGATTTAACCTTCATGAGAGAAAGCAAAAGCAAGTTTAGGAAAGAGAAAAAGAGGGTGCTGTATGTTCGTGGCTCATGGAATAGGAATTTGAATATAAAGGAGAGAATCATGCATTTTTGTTTGTTCTATATTTTTTAGCATGTTATGAAATTATAGAAATAGGACTCTAGATTTGATCATTTCCAAGTTTTCTTATGGAAGTTTCTAGCTTGCTAGACTCTAACTTGCTTACGTTCCAATTGCACGTGTATGTAATTGTAGATCTAAACTTATATGATCAAGTTTTTTCTTTTTAATTTTTGTTTAGCGGGGGAAGGAAGGAATGTAAAAAGAAGGGAGGAGAACAGAGATCTTTACTCATTTGGATTACTAATTTTAGAAAATTTTATAGAAAAATGTACTGTAGCAATTTGATATATGTAAAGTAAAAAGATGATCTAAAAATATGTTCACGAAAAGCATAATAATTTTTCTACAGAAAATCACGGGCCTGTTTGGAACCTAATTTTTTGGGAGTTTGTCTAAAACTTTACTGTAGTGCACTGTAGAAATTTTTGAAAAAATTTTGTAGAAATTTTTTGTAAGGAGAAAAATTTTGTAGAAGTTTTTGTAGGGTTAAAAACTTTTTTCTCTTTTCTTTTTTTTTTCTTTCTTTTTCTCTTTCTCTTTTCTTTCTTCTTCTTCTTCTTCTTCTTCTTCTTCTTCCCCCTTCCCCGTTACCTCTGCCTCTAGCAGTGCCACCTCCCGCCACCCCCTGCTTTGTTTCTCCCCATCTGCCCCGCCACCCCCCGCCCCGCCGCCTTCCCCCTCCCCGCCATCCCCTCACCACGCTTCCCCCTGCTTTCCGCCATCCCCTCTTCCCCCGCCACCCCTCCCCCGCCTTCCCCCTGCTTTGCTTCTCCCCCCCCCCCCGCCACCCCCTTACCCAGCTTCCTCTGCCCTCCCCTCTGCCCTTCCTCTGCCACCCCCTCTCCCGCAACTTCCAAACAAGCTCACCTTCCCCCTCTACCCCCGCCACCCTCACTGCCCCGCCACCCCCTCGCCACCTTCCCCCTCCCCCCGTCACTCCTTTGGCCCCTTCCCCCTCCCCTATTCCCCTTTCCGTTTACCACCCTCGAATCCCGCCACCCGTCAATTTTTTTTTGGGCAAATCCCCCCTCTCCCTCTGTCCTCCCCTTTCCCCACCACCCTTACCCTCCCTCGATGCGATCTAG